AATAGTAGGGATGATTAGCTAATCTTTCTAGCATTTGATCTATGAAGGGAAGTGGAAAATGATCTTTCCTAGTTGCTGCGTTCAATTTCCGGTAATCGATGCACATACGATGTCCAGTTACTGTTCTTGTAGCGATCATTTCATCTTTATTGTTTTTAATGACAGTGACCCCTCCTTTCTTTGGAACAACATGAACTGGGCTAACCCAAGTGCTATCTGAGATAGAAACGATTATTCCAGCTTCTAAAAGCTTCATAATCTCCTTCTTGACAACATCCATGAGTTTAGGGTTCAGTCTCCTTTGACTTTTGATTGAGTTTTTAGAATTATCCTCTAGATTTATCTTGTGCATACAAAGATCTGGAGAGATTCCAGGTATGTCATCAAGCGAATATCCTAAGGCTTTTCTATGCTTTCTCAGCTCAGTCAACAGCATTGCGGTTTCTTCTTCCGTCAAACCAGAGTTTATTTTGATAGGATAAGTAGAATTTGGTCCAAGGAAAGCGTACTTAAGTCTGACGGGAAGAGGTTTAAGCTCAACTTTAGGGGCTTTAAGCTCGCTCCAAGGATCATTAATTGCTGCAGCAGTGTCTTTAGGAGGTGTAGGAATGTTTGTTTGGTCCTTAAGATCTAGATAGTTTAGAGGTTTCCTATAAGTTTCGGACTTATCAAGCATACGCGCGCATTCACTCGAAATTTCTTCAAAGAAATTGCGTTCATCTTTTGCGGGTGAAAGCGTGACACTTAAAGGGTCTTCTAGAAGCAGATCTTCATAGACTTCCTCAATAATTCCGTCTAAATCATTAACCCAACAAATTTTGCCATCCAGAGTCGGTTTATCAAAACTTTTGTTCATGTCAAACTGCATAACTAGACCGGCTAGATGAAAGTCAATTTTTCCTTCAGGAACATTGATTATGGCTCCGGCTGTAGATAGGAATGGTCTCCCAAGAATAAGTGGATCCTTAGGTTCTCTTTCTAATTCTAGAACTACGAAATCTGTTGGTATGGAACATTTTTCGATTTCTACGGGAACATCTATTAGGATACCTACAGGTTGTCTGACAGAACAATCAGCTAATACTAAGGAGATTTTAGTAGGCTGGAAAGTGTGGTGTCCTAGACGTTTTGCTACTGAAAGAGGCATCAGGTTTATGCTAGATCCTAAATCACAGAGAGCATGCTCAAAAGCTACATCATTGATGGTGCATGAAAGTACGAAGCTTCCAGGATCGTTTTCCTTTTCAGGGATTCGGCTTTGCAGAATAGAACTACATTCATGGGTTATCATCATAACGCCTTCTTCAAGAGTTAAAGAATTTGTTAGAATACCCTTCATGTATTTTCTTAAAGCTGGAATCATAGCACAAGCTTCTACGAAACATAATCTCACATTTAATTGATCGATTAACTCTTTCAGCTTAGATTTTTCTTTCTCTTTCTTAGGGTCTCTTAAGGCTCTAGGATATGGAGGTTTAGGTTATAGACACGAGTTGGTGGAGGTGGAATCGGGTCTTCTCCAAGGATTTCCCGGGATGTATCTTCTCTTACTTCTTCTCCATCCTTCTCTCCTACCACTTCTTTTTCAACATCTTCAATCGTGCTTCTTTCTCTTTCTTTCTCCTTTTCCTTACCCTTTTCCTCAACTTCGGGAATCTTTAGGAAATTCAGGCTCTTTGTAAGCTAATCCACTCCTAAGTGTGATAGCTTTCACATGATCGGAGGGATCTGCTTCACTTGAGTTTTCGAAAGAATTTTCACTTGGTTCCTCTTCAGAATTTTCTAAGTTTTTAGAATTAGTTTTGATCATCAGGCTAAGGAGGGTGGAAAATTTTTCATTGAAATCCTCTTGCATCGTTTTTAGTTCAGATCTAAGATCACTAATCTCTTGAGACCTAGATTTTTAAGCTCTAGAATTTTTTTGTTTAGGTTTTCAGCTTCAGAAGAGGGAAAACTAGGATATGGAATGGGATTAGATTGAATGACCAAGATAGGTTCGGAAGATTTGTTTCCAGTCAAGTTCGGAAGACAGTTTCCCGCGGTCAGAAGGCTCGCGACCGCGGTGAAACAGGTCTTGGCCGTGGTCAGCATCATCACGACCGCGGTCACTACAGGAAAAACGAGTATTGTTAGCATCGAAAAAACGCTATCTAACGATACGATAGCGTTTTTTAAAGCGCTCTGTCATCGCCCGTCATAATAGATCGGGTACTTTAGATAGCGGTTTTTGGTCCTGCTATAACACATGTATATACTATAGCGTGTTTGTTACTGCTACTATATATTTTACAATATCGTTTGCTTTTAGTCATTCAAAATTTTATATACAGCGTTTTTAAAATTGTTATTCATATTAGACATAGCATTTGTATAAAATGTAATGGTTTTGGTTTTGTTATATGGATAATTTGATAATAATTAATAAATTTAAACTACCAAATAAAAAAGACTACGCATATTAAAAGCTCAATACATTAATTATGAGTAAGATACAAATATGTTCAACATAATTATCAAGGAAAGAGTTACAGAGTAATATTACACTCAAACCACAATCTCAAAGCATAATAAGTTTATCATTCGGCCAAGCTACTGTTGTTCCTACTGCATCGGAAATGTACTCGACTTCTGAATTTGGTCTCCACACTCGTGCACCATCCATCTTAGAAACCTCTACCCAGACCTTGCTAGCATTGGGACCTAAGGGTACAAAATGGACCTTCTCTGCTGGATCAGTTGAAGAAATACGTCCTATGGCAACTCGCTGCCCAGTATTTTGACAGTCCAACAGAATGCACTTCTGTTTTGCACCATTGCTGGTACCCGTGCTAGTACTACCACTCTACCAATGTAAACTTTACACATCAATATAACATCACAGCAACATCAACTAATTCCAAACCTAATGCTATATTCTCAGACTCAGTCAAAGATCTATCTATCCTAAATTCAAAGTAATGTAAGAACTTACCTGAGCTGAGTTTTTGTTTGACTCATCCCGTGCTGGTAGATTAACATATTGTACCCTATGTGTAGGCCATGCGATGTGCTCATTAAGTGCATCACCCATCAAGGCGATTTCAGCACTTGGTCGCCATAAATAGGCATCAGGTTGTAACACCAACTCGACTTTCAGAACTGCTGCATTTGGTCCTAGAGGAATGTTGTTGACCAATTCTGTTGGGTCAGTTGATAACAAAATACCCTCACCAATAACTTTATCTTCCACATTCCAATCATAAATTCGAACTCTTTGTGTAGACTCGTCGAAATCCTAATGACTCATGCAAATACATATATCAAATTACAAATAATCCTAAAACGAAAAAAAACTGAAAAAATACAAATTCGTACTTAATTTACCTCTGACTCGGCTGTAGTTGGAGAGTTAACACCGTTGTCTAAAATTATTTTTTCAGCTGGCCATGCTATTTTACCTCCTACAGCTTGACCAAGTGTGACAATGGTTGGTGTAGGTCTCCAGACGTATGCTTCTCCGACTGATGCACACTTCACAACTACAGCAGCAGCATTAGGACCAAGAGGAATTTGACCTATCTTATATGTTGGTTCATTTGAGCAGAACTCTCCTTCTCCAACAACCACATCATCACTCGAATACCAATCCAGAAGTTGGCACCTAATGCCTCCTTTGCTAACATCGCTTAGGTCAGACTTAGAGACCTCACCATACTCTTTCTATCAAGTTGAATAATAAGCAGACATATTAGATACCTCTAATCAGCTAATCAATAAACAGTTCATTTCGATGATTTAGGAAACTGTATACACTAACCTTTTTTCCAGCTAAGTCACTAACCGCGGTTTGTAACTGTTCAAGCTTAGTAAGTAATTCTGCTTGTGTGGCTTCGAGTTTTTGCACATGCGCGTCTCTAGCTTGTAAGAAAGCTAACTTAGTGACAGTAACCCCTCTTCCCATCCCTCGAAACCTTCCTGGTTTGTCTTTTCCCAATACTTGACTGACGGCATCTTCTCTGACATTATCCGTCGAGGTAGAGTCCATTTCACTATCAATGGTCTTCACTTTTTCCTGCAAATATAATGGGCATTCTATTGTATTCAACAATGTCAGGGCGAAACATATATTTGTTGTAATTTAATTTACTCTTACAATAGTTTCCGCAAATTCTTCCCTGACAGACCTTCCATCAGAATGTGTGTGTCCTGCTACCCAAACTTTTGTTCTTGTAACTTTCCTAGGATCAGAACTGTTCTTTTTCTACAAGTGCAGATAAGCTATGGTTATTTCTATATTACCTAAACCCAACTAACCAATAACTCATTATAAACAAACATACCATCTCGTGAGCTAAGCGAATCATTCCTTTACGGCTGGTAGTGTGAGGAATCTGGCCTTTTCTCAGTTGTCTATATCTGTCACTTCGTTCCTAAGGACAGAAAAAATCATATGACACACCAAAATAATAATATGACACATATATGAGGGTAATATACAAACCTTAAAAGCTGAACTGATCTTGCTTTTCACCCAAGTGTTCCAAGCGGATGCAGAGTGGATGTTGCTTGGTTTTAATTTCTGTAGTTCTGCCTTGCTCTTTGTTGCTCGAACCTGGGAAACAAGCCTAGATTTAGAAGCCCTCCATAGACAACCCATCTGCCTAAATACAGATTCTTTTTGCCAGTCCTCTTTCAAATTGAACCTCCCCTGCCAAACAAGTCAAAGTGAATCATTAAAAGACCATTTTCCACATACATGTATTTGTATTCACTTATACCATAAATAATCGAACCTGAATTTCCTCCCACATTGTGTCTTTCACACTCTCATCAAGATGTCTCCAGTCATCTAGAGTTACTGGCACATGCTCTCTCACAAGAGGACCAAGAAACGAAGAAAGAGTTACTGATCCACTACCGACATGCTCACCTATAGATGTAAACTCCACATCTACTTTGTCCTCGGGATTTTTTGCCACCTTGCGCATTTTAGTTGGACCTCTGGTATTCCTCCTTTTAGTCTATGGCTGTTGTGTCTGAACCTCGTCTGACATGTTGGAAGCTCCTTTCGCTGGAGGCTGGGTAGTTTCTTCTTCAGTATCGGGTAACTGTTGCTCAACTTCTTCGTCAGCTACATTATCCTCCTCCATTCGTGATGGCTCTTTACTCTGTTGGTCCTCCTCAGCAATGCCATTCCCATCGTCTTCTGAAAAGTACTCATCACTCTTTGCTCCCTCATTCTCGCATGGAATTTCGTCATTATCGACAGGGGCTTGTTTTCGGTTTTTCTTTGCACTCAACGACTCGTGAGAAATCACGTCGAGACCTTGCTGACGCTTACTGCGACGGACTTCGATGGCTCCACGATTCATCTTAATCAAGTACCTGCACAACCACACTATTCAGTTAAAACGGAAATATCAACCCTCAACAAGCACGCCTTCACAGTCATTCCTAACACAAAAACTCTCATCATCAGAAGATTGGTCGCCTAAATCTTCTAATGTTTGGCCTGCTGAGTGTGCAGAAATGAACTCTTCTTCAGTCTCTAACTCATGGTATCCTCTTGGAGGAGCCCTCATCACAACATACCAAGGGGAAGAGTCATCTTCCCTAGAGTAGAACACTTGTTTAGCTTGGGACGGCAAAATGAAAGGATCATTCGAGAATGATGTTTGGTTTACATGGAGATTAACCAGCGTAAACCCTGCATCCTCCTTTACCCCATTACCTTTGTTTGCCCAAATGCACTTAAATAGTGGAACCTGGAACATGTGATAGTCAAGCAATATGATCTCCTTTATCACTCATGCTACTATGTCAGTCATCTGTCTCGTATCTTTAGCAGTAGCTCTACACATCGAAAATGCTTCGTAGGTTACTCCACTGTTTTGTGTCTTCCGCTTAACATCTTCAGTATGAAATCGATGGCCATTTATAATGAAACCCTTGAAGGTTTGGGCAACGTGTCTGGGTCCAAAAGCAAGCCATCTCAGCCTAGTTGAATGGTCCTTCGAGTTCGTAGGTATCTACCAAAAGACATTAGACAATTTGTTTATGTATAAACGAGTCTGCTAGTTAAGTATTAAAAAAATTTATAAACGATCTAACCTTTTGTTTGATCCACTGGGAGAATCTTTCGTTATGATATTTCCACAGTAATGTTTCGTTTTTTGGCGCATCTTGCATCTTTAGTTTCTAGTTCTTCCAAATGCAATCTGAATACATCGAAGTTAGTTTCTCATACACTATAATACTAACTGTAAAAAAAAAAATGCACTTACTGAACATATGGATCCATAACTGCTGTATTCATGAGAATATATCGATGAGCTATGTCTCGATCTTTATCTGAAAGTGTAACTTCTGTAGCTTTTAGCAGTGGCCGGCCTTCGAGAACAGTTTGATCTGCCTCAATATCTTCATTACGATTAATAGCTTCTTGAACTGGTACAGACTTCTGTAGAAACTCCATACAAAATGCAATACATTCACCAGCCAAATATCCCTCAGCCATACACGCTTCTGGCCTAGCAAAATTCTTGACATATCCCTTTAGTGTCTTCATATACCTACATATCAATGATAAAAAGATTACAAGTAATAGGTACGTATTGGTATAGAATTATAATGAAGTATATAACTGGAAAAAGAGATACCTTTCAAATGGGTACATCCATCTGAAGTGTACCGGCCCACCCAAGCGTGCTTCTCTTGCAAGATGTATTGGTAGATGAAACATGATGTCAAAAAGTGAAGGCGGAAAGAATCTCTCCATCTGGCACATAGTTTCCACAACCTCTGATTCTAATGCTAGTAATTTCTCTGGATCTATAACACGTTGGCACAGTCTACTGAAGAAATTGCATAGCCGAGTCACTGCAACCCGAGGACCATTTGGCAGTAAACCTCTTAATGCAACATGAAACAAATTTTGCATTAATATATGATGGTCATGTGACTTCATAGCACCAATAATAGGCGGATCAACAGAAACACAATTAGCAATGTTTGCACAATATCCATCTGGCCCTCTGAATTTAGATAGCCTTTTGCAGAATATCCGTTTTTCTTCCTTAGAAAGCCAATATGCAGCTGGAGGTAAGTAAGTTCTTTTCCCACGTACCTGAGTATGTAGGTTGCGACGAATACCAATGTCTTCTAAATCTTTTCTTGCTTTCAACCCATCCTTAGATTTTTGGCTATGCATCAGAATTGCGAGTAATGCATCAGAGACATTCTTCTCGACATGCATGACGTCAATGTTGTGCCGCACAGGCAGATCCTGCCACATATAGTATAAACAACTTTCAGAAATATAATTAAGCATCTTAAGCTACCAACAACAAAAATGATTATAAAGAGTACTAACCTTCCAGTACGGTAAATAAAAAAATATAGACCTTTTTTTCCATCTCCATAGGTCATTGTCGTCTTCATATTCTTCTGTTGATATCACATCATCTTCGTCGACATCGTTTCTATTTCTCTTACCTTTCTTCTTATCCAAAGGTCTTCCAAAATCATTCCTAAAATCCTTTAGGCTCTCAAATATGTCTGTTCCACTCTGAATTCTTTTCGCAGACCCAGATTCTATGATATTGTCGAACCACCCCTTTCTACGTCGGTATGGATGACCAGGCCTTAGTCGCTTCCTGTTGCCCATATATACATGCTTCCGACTGAACTTTAACCACCTGTATGGTGTATCCTTTCCACATACATTACAAGCTTGTTTCCCCTTGACCTTACATCCAGCTAATGTCCCTAACGCAGGATAGTCGCTGAGGCTCCACAGCAACATGGCACTAAGAGTGAAACTCTCCTTCTTAAAGGTATCATAAACTTCTAAATCTTGAATCCACAAGTCTTTCAAATCATCTATCAGCGGCTGTAAGTAGACGTCAATGTTGTTGCTAGGTGCGGTTGGTCCAGGGATCAACAGTGTCAGCATGATATTCTCTGCTCTCATACACTCAGTTGGTGCCATGTTGTAGTTGACCAAGAGCACCAGCCATGTGCTATACTTTGTATTCTGGATCGAAAAGGGATTCATGCCATCTGTAGAAATCCCTAGTCTAAGGTTTCTAGCATCAGCAGCAAACTCCGGCCATTTCTCGTTGACCTGAAACCAAGTCAAGGAGTCAACTGGATGCCGCATAGTACCATCTTCACTACCATTACTGTAGTGCCAACACAAAGCCTCAGCTACCCGTTTTGATCTAAACATCCTCCTAAGTCTTTCTTTAATCGGAAAATATCTAAGCACTTTCGCAGGAATCCCTTGCTTGTCCCCACCTGTGTGTTTATCCTTTTCCCACCTTGATTCACTACATCTTGGACAGCTCACCAACTCCTCATACTGATTCCGATAAAGAATGCAGTCATTCTTGCAGGCGTGAATCACATTATAGCCGAACCCAAACATCTTCAAAAATTTCTTCATCTCATCAGTAGACTTAGGTAGAACATTGTCGAGTGGCAACATCTCGTGAACTAGCATCAGAAGCTGGTCAAAGTAGTTCTCTGACATCCCACTCTTGACTTTTATTCGGTATAGTCCCATGATTGCTTGAACTTTGGTATAGTTCATACACGTCGAGTACAAGGGAGTTTCTGCATCCTCTAACTTCTTCTTGAACTCAGTATCTGCGTCAGTATCTTCAAACTGATCTACATTCTGCTGCTGAGATGGTTTCTTGCTTTCACTTGCCATAAAAGCAGTCCTAATCAGATCATACGCCTCATACTCAGACGCATCAACATCAATCATCTTCTCATTCCTTTTATCCCCGTGATTGCTCCAACATTGACTTCTCTTGTACTTCTGATCCATCCCTCGTATCACTAGATGCTCCAACACAGTCTGAGTTGATTGGTGGCAAACATTTCGGCAATCAACGCAAGGACAGAATATCTCCGATGGATAACCTAATCTTTTTGCTGAATCAGTGAGAAACTTAGTTGCTCCTACCTCATATTCAAGGCTATTCCTATCAAATTGAAATATAAATGAATTAGGAAATACAATGATCTAAACCCTATACGGAAAATGAAATCAAGAAAAATGTGTGAAAGTAGTCGAATTAATACCTTGGCAACCAAACCCAAGCTTTATCCATGTTTACAACAGCTCCGACCAAATTGTGTATATAAAAAACCCAACTACAGTAAGGTTTAGGCGAGAACGACACTATAATCTTGTCAGAAATCAAATAGATTTGGGATACCTGATTTTGTTTGTTCTTCCTCGCCTAACGAAATCTTCCTGCATATCGACATGCGAAGCTGAGTTCAAAATGCAAGAAGACAGGCAACATAAAAGAAAACTTAAAAGGGAACTCGATTTCACCTTTGCTAAATGAGATCCTCAGAAGATTTGTTTAGGAACGAATCCGGAGAGTCGGGGATTTCACAGTCGCGGGTTTGGAAAGGGTTTTTTGGTATGCTCAGAAATCGAGCAAATAAGACTCTTCGATATAGAGATTCTGGGTACAATGAGAAATAAATGGAGAATGAAAAATTTTGATTTAGAGTTATAGGAAGTACAAATGGAGAATGAAAAATTTTGATTTAGAGTTATAGGAAGTACGAATGGAGATGTTTAGTCTGGGAGAGTGTCGAATTAGGGTAAGAACACTGAAAATGGTGATGAAGTTCTTTAGATCTGAAATTTGGGGATTTTACGATATTAGAGAGCCAAAAAAATTTGTGGAGGCTAAATTTTCTAAGTGTCGCGGGTCTTTAGAAAAATTTGTCCGCCTAAACATATTATAACGTTTTCAAAAATTATCTACTATTAGAGAGAACATTCAACATTATAAAACCCACGACAATTTTAGTTTTTCAATTTAATAATATATCATAGCGTCTTCAAATATCCAAACGCTATATTAAAGATGTGGGTATACTAATAATAGCATAATGAACAAAAACGCTATCTTGTAATGCTATTAATAGCCTATATTCTTGTAGTGGGTGAAAGATTGGTTAGTCGCGGTCCGGATGAATGGACCCGCGGTGATCAGAAACGAATGAAAAATCTTGGATTTGGTAGACTTCTGCAGTGTTCATCATCTCTTGATCATAAGAATCCATTGGGTTGTCCCAGCCGTCAAAGTTACACGTATTGTGTACCTTATTTGGTTGTTGTAATCCAAGATGACTCATTATGTGATGGAGACACTTTATAACTTCCGAAATCTCTTCTTTCTTCTCAGGAATTGCAGAATTACCAAAGGTTTTTTGATTTCGGATGCTGTTTGCGAAATTTTTTATGAAAACGTGAGCATCTTCTACAGATCTAGTTGAGAAGTCTCTATTTCTTGCTGTCTCGAAAGAGTGTCGTAACTCTGGAGTTATACCGCGATAGAAGATACCCAGCAGGTATTCTTCTGTATATCCATGGTGTGGAAAATTTCTTTAGTATTCCCTAAATCTTTCCCAAGTATCTAAAAGATCTTCATCTTCTTTTTGTTTATAAGTTCTTATCTTGTTTCTTAAGACATTTGAACGATTTCTAGTATAAAAAACGATTTAGGAAAGCAGTTCTACAGGCTGCCCACGTTTTTAGTGAAACAGGTGGCAAAGATTTTAGCCATTTGCTGGCATTGTCTCTCAAAGAGAATGGGAAAAGACTTCACTTGTGGTAATCCCCATTTGCTGTAATGGTTGCACATAATTCTTCAAACGTCTCGATATGGTCAATCGGGTGTTCGGAATTGTAACCATGGAATTGATTTTGTTGAACTAAATGGATATAGGGTACCTTAATTTCGGTTTTGTCATCCTCTGGTAAGGCTGGTTGAATAGCTCTTCGATCTCCCAAGAATTTCTCGAGTGAATCGAAACTTCCAATCAGTTCATCACAATCTTCACGTTTTGCCGATCCGATTAGCTCATTGTCATCATAAATCGGTTCTTCAAACTCATCATCAGTCAGGTCATCGTCGCTTGGATCACCATCCACACGATATGGTGGATCACCAAGAGTTCTGGGAACATGTTCCCGGTCTCTCATTTCAGAGAAACCTGAAAAATTCAAAAGAAAAAGTAAAAGTAAACAAGTGTTCTAATAGATTTAAGCTGTGATTCGCAACGAAACAAATCAAAGTCCCCGGCAACGGCACCAAAAACTTGATGCGGTTTGTAAACGGGGTATTGGTTCTTTCTACTAAGCTTCAGGTTTTAAATTTATAACCCCTAAATGTCTGCAAGGGCACAGATGTGCGCTGTAGTACTTAGGGTATTGATCCACAGAGACTTAGTTGTTTCAGTACGAATTCACGGCAATGCTTAAATCAGATTAGAACTAAACAGGTTTGGGTTTTGGTTTTTTGGGTTTTGGTTGTCACTGAATCTAAACTAGAAAGCAAAGAAAGCAAAATCAATTAAGAACGAAAGCAAGTAAAGCAAATAAAAAAGCGATTAACAAAGGCGAATGGAAGCAAGTAAATAGTGATTGAAAAGCAAGGCTGTAAACAATGGAAGCAAACGTTGGGGCTCAAGGGGAATTCGCAGGGGTTCATGGACTAGGCTATGTCGATTTTAAAAAAGTGATAAAGGTAATCAACTACGTATGTTCTAGAACTCGAGGCACGGAAGTATGAATAGCCTACTTTCGCAGCACTAAACAACTATCTCTTGCAATGCTGATCAGTAGGTTTCCACTCTGATCCTGGAAGGGAGAAGATGCAATAGCAGAACAAGACTCATCAACATTCACAACTCAACTACAGGTAGGTTTCCACTCCTAAGAATTATTGCTCGTTTCACCCAAGTTCAGACAATCAATGAAAGCTTTCGCAACATATCATATCAGATCGGCTTCTAAGAGGCCAGCAGAGAATCACGCAGTAAGATTAAAGGCAAACGAAGAACATCTAGAAGATTATAAATCCTAAATCTATCGATTCATAAACAAAGACACATGAAATCCCCTTTGAAAAATCCCTTTAAACCCAACTGGGTAACTACTCAAACATATTGTAACAAAGCATCATAGAGTATTGAAAGTGCAGGAAATTAAAGAAAAGAAGGAAGAAAAACGAAGAACGGAGAAGCAGATGGAGGCGCGATGTCTTCCTCCAGCGGCGGCTCCTTCTCCTTAAAACGGTGGCCTCCCTCTTAGGTGATATGATCGTGACAAGCTCAGAGGAGGAGGAACCAGAGGTAGCTGGCAGGATCACTCGTTCCAGAGCTAGAGAGATGGCTAAGGAGGCTCACACACTCATTGTCGCAGAGGACATCGATCAACTGGAGGCTGGAGTTCACATCTTCAACATCTCTATCTTGAAGAATGAAGAACCCAGTAACAATGAATAGGTAACTTAGGTGATGATTCTGTACTCTTTTCCTTAGTGAGGATTTTGGAAGGCAAGGAGGTTCTTCTCCAAGGTTTTTAACGAGGCAGAAATTATTGCTACGTCGAGTTCCTTAGAAGTTGTTACTAATGGGTAATAATGTGCAAAGTCACAATGACTTGTGCACTAGTTGTTTTAGGCGCACCACTTAGGATTTAGAAGGGACGCCTCGCTGTTTTATTATTAAATTAAACTTCTTGTTGTTTTTATTTCAAACTCCATGTAGTTTTGTTATTAGGGCTGCGATTTTCTCTCTTAGTTAATAAAAAGAGAAAATCGCCTAAGTCATATTCAGTGAAGAATTTTGAACAAACTTTTAACATGTTCTTCTCTCTTTGATTTCTGAGAACTAAAAACTCTGAAATTCGAATCTCTTAAAAACTAATTTGTTTACAAGAGATTCTTCTATCTCTCCATTACATCGATATCATCTTATCAGCACCACACCATCAATCGATCAACACACCACGTCCACCCTCTCATCTCACTCGATCCGCCGCATCACACCACCATCTCCCTTCATCGATCCGATCTCCATAGTTCTATCACGACATCATCAAACCATCATCACACCTGTAGCCTTTATTCTTGAGAGTAGATCCCCTTGGATCGTATCATTAGGGCTTTGAATCACACACGAAAATTTGAGTACAGAAAAAAACACACCCTTTAGAATGACCTAAAGGGGGTATTTATATCTTCTGGAGTGGTCTTGGACACTTAGGGCTTCAAAAATAACGAAAATAATTGATCTGGGCTTTAATTAAGTCGTCAGGAAAGTGAACGACCAATTTCCGCGGTCGTGGTGGTTCTACCCGTGGGAAAATAGGTGTTGCCGCGGCCCCGGCTAATGTTCTCTTCCGGAACTGCATTTTCTGTCATTCTTGCATCGGGAGTATCTGAAGATCTAACCGTTGGATTGTCTCCAAACCAAGTGCATTAGAAAGCTGGTTGGATCCTCTATGTTGTCTCAGACGGTGAGAAGGTCTTCATCCCTTATCATACTTCTGACGATCTGCATTTATCTAAAATTGCTTATTTGTTCCAAATTGCATATCTTTTGCCCAAGTTTCCTGTAAAGTCTTTTGAAACTCTAAAACATTGAAAACACTTTAAAAACCATTAAAAACAGAGTTAAAACACCTGCATAAGACATAATTGTGATCCATAAAAGAGGTCAAAATACGGTGTTATCAGGTACTCCTTAGACATTTTATAACTTAAAAAGGGTCCACTCGATACCTAAAGTATCAAAACAGCCTGTTTTTATTCGAGACACTCTATCAATTTTTCAGAACAGCTCGGCCAGGAAAGGAACAAAATCATCTATGGCTCGGCTCGACAAACTACGTAAAAACATCCAGGTTTGACAAGAACTTTCCACAAAAACAGTTTGGAACAATGATTCTCGGAAAAATATTAAGTCAAAACCAGCAGTTATAAAAAAAAAAAGACACCCAAAATCATTATCATATAAGCTTCAGTTCAAGAATCAAATGGATAAAGCCATCCAGGCATCAATCACAAAACTAATATGAGTACGTAAGATGGATAAAGCCTTCCAGGCACTTAGCGTGATAAGGAGAATTTAAAAGAAAAGTACACATTCCGAAAGCGAGAAAGAGTAGCAAGGGTCAAGCTGCAGAACGCGTCTCTCACTCGGCAAGGGGGTTCGAAAGAGCTGGGGTACCTTCGTATGACCCGGTTGGATCCCGGACACCCAGATTAGCCGCTGTCTCCTCGATCGGCTCGTTGCCCAG